CCAAGGGCACTCAAAATGAGACTGAAGAGACGATTTCTTCAAGGGGAGTCGACGATTGGGACATGAGTCGGAAAAAGCCTGTGGGAATGGAGCCTTCATGATCTCCATTTGTTGAAGGGGCACGACTCAAGGTAAAGAGAAGTAGCTGCACAAATCTTTTAACAGCTGGAACTTGGAATGTTCAAAGTATGAATTTAATCAAAGTGAAAGTGGTCAAAAATGAAAATGGAATTCATGAAATTGATATCCGAGGCATTAGTCAATTGAAGTAGACTGTTATTGGCCATTTTGAATCAGAGAATCATATGATTATGCCAGGAATAACACAATCAAGAGGAATGGCGTGGCATTGATTATCACAAAGGTTTTTGCTAAATTCATTATGAAGTAAAATGTTGTTTGTTGATAGGATTATATCTATCCCCCTTCAAGGAAAACCAATCAATAGAATTATTATTCAAATTTATACAACAAGCACAAACCTAGTGATGAAGAAATTAAAGAATTCAAGCAATGACCAGTTTTAAATTGGTCAAACATGCCATCAAAATGCATGGATAGTTATTGGTGATTGGAATGCAAAAGTTGGAAACACAGAAGAAAGAACAGTTAGAAAACATGGATTTGGTGATAAAAATGAAGCTGGAGATCCCATGATAGAATTTTGCAAAACCCACCAAATGGTTATAGCAAATACCTTTTTCAATAACATGGAATATACAGAAATCAAAATGATATAGCTGTGGTAAGAGGATCTGGAGAAGCTTAATGTTAGCAGCTAAAACCGGACAAGTGCTTACTGTGTAACAGATCATCAATTGCTCATATGTAAGTTCAGGATAAAGCTGAAGAAAATGAAAACAAGTCCACAAGAACCAAAATGTGCTTGAGTCTATCCCACTTGGATTTCAAAAACATCTCAAGAGCACATGTCACTCATTGAACACTAATGACAGAAGACCTGATGAGGCAGTAGGTTCAGGTCTGAGAGTTCTTATGCTTTGAAATGGGGAAGGGATAGCTGGTCCTTTACAAATTAGCAGTATTCATTGGTTTGTCACAATTCCAGGTTTTATCATTTCTTTCTGAGGAGAGCCACAAGTGGATGACTTTCACAAGCAGAAATGTACCCTTTTACAATTTAGTAAATTAGAAGTTGACATTTAGAAAGTAAGTTCTAGAAGAAGGCTTTTTCTATGTGTTGACTGGTGGAAGGCCCTTGTCTCCATTCAACATCTGTGGAGCCAGAATTCTTTGAGGATCCTCATGAGCTTTGGCATCAATCTTGAAAGTACCATGAACTGTATCCAGCCACCAAATTCTTTTCATGGTTAGTAGTTTATTCTTCTTAAAATTTCTAGGAATATAATCATATTTCCAATACGTTCATACCAGTCAAGTTTCCCTTTGGTCTCTTGTACTAGAAGGCAGGTCCTACAGTGAAGTCCTGTCTGGGTATACTTATTCCGATCCTATCACATGTCAGGATCAGCAAACTGTAAGGATATAGTCATTTGTCTCCTTAATCAGCAACCAATTCTCTCTCTGGTTCTCAGCCTTTCAGCCACATGATCCGTTGGACTTTGTATCCATGGGCAAGAAAGCCAGCTTACTTGTCACTCTTTCCCAAAGTGCCTATGTCAGGCCAGATAAGGAGAAAGTATTCCATAGACTCATTGCTGCTCCTCTGAGTCTTGGTGCTACAGTGTGTGATGCACCTGGTCGTGGCTTTCACTACTTCAAACAGAGTTCTTGAACGTGCTCATCTAAGAGCCTAGCGGTTTCTCTCTCCTCTGCTTTAAATCTATGTACAGAGTTTACAGAGGCTGATTCCTCTGAAGTGGGCAGTTGAGTCCTTCTACGTAGTCTGTTTCCAATCTAGAAGCTCTGCTGAGAACTGTTCAATTTGGGTGACCCTGCTGACATTTGAAATGCCAGGAGAGACTAGTCCTTGGAAAAGAACATCCTGTTTGGTAAAGTGGAGGGGCAGTGAATAAGATGAAACTCCTCAACGAGATGGACTGACACAGTAGCTGCAACAATGGGCTCAAGTACAGGAACAATCGTGAGGATGATACAGGATCGCTGCGCTATGCTAGAGTCACTATGGGCCATAGCCAATTCAATGGCATATAACAACAACAGCCCTACAGATAGTATACATACAAATTGATGAATGCTTAATTACTAGAGGCATTCATGGGGTGTAGGCCTCCCAAGTATGAGGCTAGGGCCCAGAACAATATATGAAATAATTCAGTAATAAGAACTATTTATTGAGTGATTGCCATGGTTCAAGGACTGCTCCAAAACTTCTGTAAATGGTACCTTTTGGACAACCAATGCCCTACTAAGTTTAAATTTAAAGGCCTTTTCTTGGTCAATTATTTGAGTATCTGACAACACTTTGGTGAACACTTCCTTTCTTCTCCTGCTACCTTAGCAAACTATCATTTCTCTCTATTTACATTCTCTTCCTTGTAGGGCCGTCTACGACTTGAACACTGAACATTCAACGAAGGACTCTTGTATTTGCTTTGGATTTATAAATGAACTTAGGTTTGTCAATGCTCCCAATAAGTGTTCACACAGTGGGTTCTGAATCATACCAATCTTAGAGGATAGAGCATAACTGTCACTTTGGCTTCCAAGACTGTAAATCTCAATGGGAGCAAACAGCTTCATCTTTCTCTTGCAGAGTGGCTGGTAGGTTTAAACCTGCTGGTCTTGCAGTCAACATGCCAATTGTAAGCCCTCTGTGAGGCAATCACATTTAACCAATTCTTGCTTTATAAAGTTCATCACACCTGTTCCTTCATTTAGTGGCGTCACTATAGCTCAAGTTTATACCACTTCATGCCCCATCTCTTGCCTGGTTTCTATTCATAGAAAATCCAGTAATTTAAATTTTATTTAATAAAAAGGATTATACACAAATTATATAACAGTTATATGACAAATGAGACTTATACTAGATATGCTACATTGGTTAAATATTTAAAAAAATCAGCTAATGTAACCTAACATACTAAAGAAAATAATTGCATGGATTATGTGGATAGATACAGAAAGAACATTTGAAAAAATCCTCCAGCAATTTTTCATGATGCAAACTCAAAAGTGCATAAAATGTCTGAATGGCCCTAGAAGCAGTAGTTAAGAAATCAAATGATGCATTGTATTTGGAAAATCTTCTGCAAAAGATCTCTTTAAAGTGTTAAAAAGCAAAGACTAAAGTGCACCTCACCCAAGGCATGGTATTTTTATCATCTCATATGCATGTAAAAGTGGGACAATGTATAAAGAAGAGTGAAACAGAACTGAAGTGTTTGAATCCTGACCTTGGTGAAGAATATATAATATGCTAGGAACTGTCAAAAGAACAAATATTCGTATTAGAAGAAGTACAACCAGAGCACTCCTTAGAAGGATGTGTATTCTGGACATGTTACCAGGAGGCAACAGTCCTTCAAGAAGAGTATCATGCTTGGTAAAATAGAGGATCAATGAGATGGACTGACGCAGTGTCTACAACAATGTACTGCAACAGTAATGGTTATGAGTATGGAATACGGCTGAGCAGTATTCTGTTCTATTTATACACGTAGCTGTTATGAATCAGGACTGACTTGATGGCACCTACCAACAACAATCCAGCTAATAAAACCAACCAGAAAATTAAATACAATAAACAAACAAATAAATATAAAAAATTTACATCAATCAAGAAATAAAATAAAAAGTTAATGCACTCTATCATTTGACTATCCACATAAAAAAACTATAAACTATCCACCAAAATTTTACTCAAAACTAAGAAGATATTCAGCTAAGTAAATTAAAATACAGATAAAACAGTGCTGAATGTCTTTTAAATAACACTATCAGACCTCTTTGCTTTTGCTGCCTTGGGTTACCTTAGATGCGAATTACACTGCACACTGAGTTCATTTAGGGTACTAAGTAAAGAATAGCAACAGTAAAAATTCATGTAAGTCCAAAAGAACTCAAACTACATACAGAATTCTTTTTACTCAAACTATGAGCCCGGCACTGTATTTTATTCACATTGTACTCATAATTAATAGCCCTGTAATGTAGATATTAGCAACATTCCCACTGTTTAAATGAGGACATGGAGATTTATGTATTTCTTAGCATTTCATCTGCGTTTTAAAGTACACATTTGGCATTTTTTGGCAGAACAATGGAATAGCAGGATGAGAGCGAGCTTCTAACATCTTTTAGGACGTTGCCTAGAATACTTTATGATCCAAAAAAATAAAAAAATCCTTTTTGACAGTAATCTGGACAAATGATAGGAGACCTGGTTGTGTAGTTACAAGTCGGGCTGCTAACTGCAAGGTCAGCAGTTAAAAACCACCAGCTGCTCCCTGGGAGAAAGACGAGGCTTTCTACTCCCATAAAGAGTTACAGTCTCAGAAACCCAAAGGGAGAGTTCTACACTAGACTATAAGGGTCGCTGAATCAGCATCAACTACATGACAGCAAGTTTGGTTTTTTGGTATTGATAAATGATGACAGAGTCAAATAAATTTTGAAGGCTCCTATCAGAAACTTGATTTATTGTGCAGAGTTTTAATAAAAAACAGAAATCTATATGCCCTTTTGTGGAAAACTCCTAATTGAAATGAGATTTTTTAGGAATTAAAATGTAAATAAAAGATGGTTTTAATATTCAGTTTTTATGAGGTCAGATTAAAACCCCCAATTTTGTCTGTTCCATTTCCTTTTTCTGTTCCATATTCTTGATATATATCATTAATAAAGCTAATTTTTTATATTCGCTAGAAAATCCTTAATAGGCTTCCTTATTTTGCATATCATAAATTACATCTTACTGTATTTGGGAACTAACCACATGCTATGTGAACAGGCATCTCTTAAATCTACAATAGTTTTGAAGACACTAAAGTTATTTCTAATTTGTGACCAGGCAAAAAAAAGACAAAGAAGATGGAAAGTGAAAAAAATCTTACCAAAATCTGCAAATGCTGACTGTCCAACCACTGTCATATCTTGAGGTTTTTCAAGAATACTACTGACAGAAAAATTGCCATCCTATTAAAAAAAGGATATTTTGGATTAGAGCATCATAATTCCAATGCTGGGTGTGGACAAAACATTTAAATACAAACAGGGAAATAATTAACAGTATGGTATTGCACAAACTTCATCCTATCACCTATTCTACTTTTATCATAAAAGAAAGCAGTGTAAAGTAAAAGTAATGAAGATGACCATTTGGAATGTTTTCCTGGCTATCAACTTGGGCATGCTATTCTTTGTCAACTCAACATCATAGTTTCAGACATAATGGGTATCTTCTACTTTTAAGTATAGTTGGCTTTGTGAATGTAAAGAAGTACATAGTTCCTAACTTCTGTGAGCTCAGAACTCATTTGGGAAATGGTCTATAGGTCAAGAAGGCAAATTTTCTTAAGGTAACATATAAACACCTCAAAAATGAAACTCACTGTTATCCCAACTCATAGCCACAATCACTAAGTTTCACAGATTTCAAGGAAAGAATGTTCTGTGTTGGGAATTATTAGGAAATGTGTCAAAATGAAGAAAGAATTTTATTTTTTCTTAAAGGGTCAATTTATTTTCAACTCAAGTTTATGCATCAATGAAAAGAGAAACACAGGCTTACAACATCTGCCACATAGTATCCAGGGACAGGTAACCTAAACACAAAAGGAGAATCCATAGGGGATCCTTCATTCTAGTTACTTTTTCTAAAATGGAGCTATACACATTTGACTTCCCAAATTAATATACATTAATTTCTTTCCTTTTCATAATTTTAGATTGCACATAGAAAACATACACCAAAGCACTGAATTTAAGATTACGACCTCTCAATTTTATACATAGCTCTCTTCTTATCACTCACAACTCTATTCACTGTTTCATATGCTGACTCTGATTCGTATATATGGATATATTTAAAAAGAATTTCTCCCTTTTGTTCCTCTGTAAGTCACGTACCTATGAAATCATTTCTGACATTTATAGAGAGAGGCATCGGTATAAAGAAAGCATATATACCAAATACTTTCAAACCATGAGCTAAGTGAATAAGATTTGCATCTGACAGTCATTTTCCAACCAATTAAATGGAATACTTAAATGGTCGGGAAAGATGCAGGATATGTTTATTTTACCACCATTAAAGCACTTGATGTACATTTCATATTATTTTTCTATATAATTTTTATTTTTATGTGTATTAAACTTTAGGGTGCCTTCTCTTGCCTTGCCTAGTACCTGAAATTACGTTACAGAAATTATAGTCAAGTTCCAAATCTTTGGATGAAATGTCTGCATTTTTCTAAAAAGAAAATGCATTTGATTGAAATGTCAAGTGCATTTGGATTTTAAAAAGATCACAGCATTGGGAATATAGAGGACACAATGTTTCCTGAATGAATGGTAAAAACTTTTCTTAAACTATATGCGACTCATTTGATAATATGCCTTATTAATTCATTACACTGACTTGACTGAGTAAATGACTCCACTGAAGTTGTTTACTTTCATATGGAATTCTGAAATATAAACCGATCTGTAGTCTCTAAATATAACCTCATATATATCTCCTTCAAGAGACATCGAATATTTGTCAGGTAATAGGCTCCCATCCTATGTCTAAGATTCCATATTCACATTGTACATCAACAAAAGAACAAAAACATTTTTCTAATTGTTGGATAAAGATAATATATTTGTTGGAAACTGAGAACCGGGAAGAGCACATGTGGACAAATTCTCTACACACATAATGAGGAATCTGAGAGGCAGACTCTGGTGAAGGAAGGCCTTCCATTAGTGAGCTGGAGATAAATCCCAGTCACGTTCTCCTAACAGAAAATTATTCCCCACAATGTCCCCATAATAATTACAATTTTAAGATGTGCATGCAAGCCAATGGTTGCTACTATACGCTTGAAGGTAAACTGCTTAAAGGCTGTTTGTCATCAAGAGTTATTAGACAACCCCATCCTAAGTACAGCTTACTCCCTTCTGATAAGGATCATAGATTGCTCCACTGAAGAAGAGCTCTGGAAAACCTAAGGTCAAGACAGCTCAGGGACGACCAAGGTTAAGCTGCCGTCTTAAATCTAGAACCTGTCCATCTTGTTACGCATATATCCTCTTGTCATGTGTCTGTCCCTAGCATATCCCTTCCTGTTACATGTATGTGTATGATGTGGCTTGCATTTCTGATATTATATAAGCTGGTGAGAGAATACATTTGCTTTCTCTCTTGATCTTGCCATCGGAAGAGATGAGCCTATGTTTCACCTTGTCTGCCTTGTCTAATGTTTCTTTAATTTCCCCCTTAATTATACTACCAACCCTTAGGACCCATTCAGTTATGGAGGTTGGTCTCCCATATATATTCTTGTCATAGAGCACCTAACGCATATTTTGTGTATGACAGAATCAGAGGAAAAGACAACAGTACATGAATTTAATTTCCCATTATCATTACTTGCTGTTTACTCTAGCTGACCATACAAATCTATGTAATTTAATTTCCATTCAAATTATTCTTATTTACATATTACCTCATAAACATAATTCAATAAACTGCATCATCATGTTATTATTCTCATTGATAATATATTTTCAAATGGGCTGTGACTAGTTATTTTCTAAGATAAGGCTGCTAGGTAGCTAATAATATAAGAAAGGAGAACATGTAATCAATATTCCTTTTCATTCTGAACACACAAGTACACTAAGAGTAAAACAGCACTAGATTAGGAGTTAGATGATATGGGTATAGTTCTGTTTTCATTAATGAGCTGTGTCACTATGGAGCAGTCACTTAGTGCTCAGATTATGGATCTTCCACTGTCAAAAGGAGATCTTGTGTGGTTTCATCAAGGTGTTTGATAAGAGAAAATGGAATGATACACGTGAAAGTGTTATGTAAACTGTAAAGTATTCAGGTATTTCTATGATGACTATCCTGTGTTTAAGAATTACAAGCACTATTTTATAATGGGTGCTATTTGGAACTCATACACTCCACTGTCTGTCCCTCTCGTTACCATGTTATTCTTACTGGTCTCCACTGTTTGTCTGAAGTTCATAGTTGGACCAACTCACTAGGAACTTTATGGAAGTTATATGCTTATTTACTGTCTACCTGGTTTCTAGAATTACAGTGCTATGACTTCAGGGTAGAAACACTTCCCATTCCAACTCCTAGTTTCATTATTTGCTAGCCCATAGACTGGAATTAAGTTAGTTTTACTTTAAGTGTCTGTTTACTGAACAATTTTACTTAGAGAAAAAAATTTAAACAAAATTTTAATGGGGACTAAAAACACATATAACATGCTTATGAACACATTGTGTATAAACTTGGGGGGAGCACATTGCCTAGAGCATACTATACATCCAGTTACTGTATAAGACAAAGTAGTAGTAACCAGTAATATTATTAGTTCTGCTACCACAACTACAACCATTGATGCACCTACAAAACACAATAATAGGAAACATTTTGCAATTTCCTGCTTTAATTCTAACTACAAGTGCTATGTTATAGCAAGTACTCATTCATGGAATACTGTTTCTGTTCTGGCATATCTGCTTTAATATTTAATGTTAAAACTGCAATATTTACAGTGTTAAAAATAATTAGAAAGTAATACATGATATTTATTATGGACCCCTATCTTTGCTTCAACACCTGTAGGGATATTTGGAAATGTTTACAAACATTTTTTGTATGTCACAATTGAGAGAGAGGGGCAATACTATGATCATGTGGGCAAAGGATAGCAGAAATACTGCAGCACAATATGAATTGCATGGAAGCGCTCCTTAAGAAATAATTACCTGGTCCAATAATGTCGCAATGCTGAGATTGAGAAAGGCTGACATAAGGAGATGTGGGTATTGTTCAAAGGCTTGACTTTGACATTCTTCACCAGCATCTCTTCCCAAATTTATGACATTTATCTATTGTCTCCTTTGAGGTCTAATCTTATACTCTTACCACTTTCTTGACTGGCCTCTTATCAGCAATACATTTTATTTCCTCTGCCTAAATTTATTTAGCTTGTGCCAAGCATAAAACCCAAGGTACCTTCCTGTCTTCTCATATTTACCCCTTCGTTTCCATTCCTAACATTTTAACTCCTTTAATCATTAATTGGGAGAAAGATGGGGCTTCCTATTCCCGTAAACTATTATAGTATTGGAAGCTCACAAGGGAAGTTCTATTCTGTCCTATAGGGTCACTATGAGTCACCAGTGACTCAGTGGCAGTGAGTTAGTAGCTAATCATTACTTATTTTCTAGTAAATCTAAGTTAACTGTTACCTCCAGATTTTCCAAGCCCATCTGTTTGATCTACAGCAGTGAGAATAATCGCAATAGTGAAAGTTTTATACATCTTAACACATAATTCTTTTATATGTTCCCAACAGACTTTTAAAAATTGACATTAGTTTAGAAGATGAGATAGATCTTTGCTGATCTTGTCTAAACTAATCCTTCTAACATTTCTTCCAATGTCTCGTGTTTTGACCTGAATAGGTCCCTTTTCACTTTCTAGGTATGTCCTGGTCTCACCTCTTCTTTTTCCCTAATTTAATACACTTCTTTGCCTACCTTTTCTTTCTTCCTCCCAGCCACTAAACTCCTGCTCTTCTAAACAAGCCATGTCAAATGCCACATTTTCCTTTAAGCCAGTGTTTCTCAACCTTCCTAATGCCGCGACCCTTTAATACAGTTCCTCATGTTGTGTTGATGCCCCAACCATAAAATTATTTTCATTGCTACTTCATAATTATAATTTTGGTACTGTTATGAATTAGGCAACCCTTGTGAAAGGGTCGTTGGACCCTCCAAAGGGGTTGTGACCCACAGGTTGAGAACCGCTGCTTTAAGCCTTTATCTAATCTTTGATAGATCAGATAGAAGCTACCATCCCTTTAAAACAATTTTATAACATGACATTTGTACAAACTAGTCTGGATTCCTTGTTTTTTTTTTCCCCATGTGAGTAAATTACTAGCATGTTATTGCTCATA